ACAGTCCCTAACGTAATGTTGCTCAGTGGTTGAAAGATGAATAAAAACAACAGTGTTGTTAAAGTTGTGTGCCCCCAAGTCTACTGAGAATGTGGTTTTGTTTTTTACAAATCACCTGGAAAACTAGTATTTATAATAATGACAGTGACAACTTGACCCTGGGACAGATTATTTTTTTTAGGAAATATATTTGTCATTTTGTCTTGGCAAATTTTTTATTTTTACAGTTATTTACGGTGCAGTACAATGGATGTAAAATGTCAACACACCCCTGTTGAAATGTCAATTTTTTTTTTTTGTGAAAAGAAAAATTAGACCTCGATAAATCATTTTAAAACGTTTTCTATCATTATTATCGCCTACAAACAATATGATTCCATTTTTTGTCCTACTAGAACATCTGAACTTTATTTGGGGTTCATCAGAGGCACTTTAAACAATACCCGATGTGTGCTGACTCCTGCTTAACACGAGCTTGGATGCGATTGGTTAATTCCGAGCAAAGCCACATCACCAGATATAAGAGTGCGCACATGTGTGCAGGTGCATTATTTCAGTTGTTTATTACGTACCCTCTTGAAAAGACCACCCCCCCAAATAAGTAGTACAGGTTTTAGGGAACAATGATGGTGAAAAATGTTTTTAAATTACTTGTCTTGTTCCTAAAAAAAAAAAAAATTGGCTTTTGAACAGGGGGGTGTAGACTTTTTATATCCATTATTTTTGTTTTAAAACAGCAATTAATGTGCAATCAATCTTCCGGCAATAAATCGGCTGCCTTGTAAAGTGCTCTTCAAGTGTTCATGCCCGCATGAGCTCCAAACATCATCAGGGGCAAACATATTTCGAACAAAAGCAATGGGGGGAAATGAGAAATATGTTCTGAATTACCAGCATGTGTGTTGTGATGCCTGAGGCTGTGCTTCCCCCATATGTCTTGTTCATATCTCCATCCAAGTGTTTTCATATCCGGTTGGGGAGGAAAAAAAAATGGAGCACAAATTCATATATACTGTAAAGAATAACATGACTCTTGTGGCGCAGACTAAATTTATCCTGCACTTTCCTTTAAAATTGATTAAATAGCGCCTAACCACAAACCTGACGATCCGGACTGAAATCACGTTGGCAAAGAAATAAATTCACAGATCCAGTAATAACTTGGAACAAATGTAAATGAGGGATGGTTTGCACGTTCCCTCTTTGAATGCTCATAATATGACTCAGCTTGTTCACAGTCACAGCCCCTGCGGCCTCTCAAAGACAGCCCAGCCCGTTCAAGGTGACCCGTGACAGGAAGGATTCACTGGACGGTCCCCGTAAAGTCCCAACGCTTGGATCGAATCGAACATCTGCGCACAAATCAAGAATGTTTGCAGGTCTGCTCTTTTCCTTTTATTTGTGCTGAGTAACTGCGCAAGCGATATGACAGATCCTAATGCACGGTGATTGTGCGATTGTTGGGCTAACACGAGAGCCGAGAGTGGCCGGTGACTAATGGCGAGGAAGAACACACAGCCAGCTGCCTCAGATTTGTTCTATTCCGCGGCACGTTTCAACAGCACATTAGCAGCTGGGAAATATCTATTTCTGAATGTGTTCTGAGTCATCAGGATCATGTCGCAAGGCTGGTGCGTCAATCACACAGTCAAATATTTGTCTCAACAACAAGAGAGCGGAGCTCGATCAATTTAAAACTATATATCACGGTCTTGTATCACATTTGTTTTTTTTTTTCCCCGCCCCAATCATGGCATGAATGGCACCATAAAAACGTTTAATCTTTGTCTCCTTCCCAACACGTCATCGTCAGGATACAGACTTGGAAACTGATAAAATAAATAGAAAATTATGACACCCGTATTAAAAAAAAATAATCATGAACAAAAGCGCATTTTTTTTTTCCCACAAATAAACCCGTCATTATCAAGCAATCGTATTCAACCCATGTTCTAATCACTGTGTCAATGAAATTGGAAAATTAAGAGAAAATCTCTCAGAATTTAATAAGCAAGCACGTATTGGCGTATTGGTGATATGAGAAGTCTCATTTGTAACTAGTCTGTCGGAATGTATGCTCTCTGTGAGATATGTTTTTTTGCGGGGGGGTGCAGGGGGGGAATTTGACTCATGAATTATAATTAACTGTGAAAATCTTCTCATATTACAAAATGAATGGAATTTTTTAAAAAAGGGGTCAAATACGTACGTATACCAAATATCCTGACAGCTTTATTTTCCAGGACTGCAAATAAAAGTTACGTTTTTGAAAAATGACTCACTAAAAAGTCAGTAATAAGACCGCGAAAATGGTCATTACGAACAGTTAATTTGAATGCTCCCACTAGAAAAGCAGTTTTAGACACTGACCGTGTAGTTCCCTTTAGAGTCCAGCTGAGCCTCTCTCCTCTCATTCCAAGCATGTCCGCTCACACAAGGACGATGCCCTATTTTTTTTTCTTCTTAAGTTTGAAAAATGAGTACTTTTCTATTTGTTTCAAAGCAGATGGCAACAGTGTCAATGATCACTACGATTGGAGAAGAACGACTGTGCAGAAAATACATTCAGTGTAGATGACAACTGAATGTCCCTCATTGAGTTGTCTGGCTGTCGCACGTGTACAGCGCTGGTCTGCAAAATAGGAGGACCCGACACAAAGTTGTCTTGAATAACATTTATTTTGCATTGCAATCAGAATGACTCGGGAACACTAGAGAGGACTGTGTTTTAATGTCTAGAAATGTTTTTTTTTTTATTTCATTCATCAGTTTCATGGACACTTTGGAATCAAATTATTTTGATTGCTTCTACTCAAGAGTGGCATCTTTGCTCTTTCATACATGGTGATAGAAATCTAATGGAATATGTTTAGAAGACAACATTGAGAAAATCTCTATGAACCATAAATGGTATCCAAAAATATGAATTTCAAGTGAAAGAGAAAGCTACAGAGACAAGTCAAATCATTCAAAAGAGGGCAACAACATAAAATTATACATGAATTGAACGTAACATTTCTACTTGGGACTATTTTCCAGCAACGTGAGAATTACGACATGAAATCTGTAGACATGCATCCCAAAAAATAAAATAAAATAAAAAAATTCTGGTAGGAAAAGAAAAAAAAAGAAAATGTAATCATGTGTAGTCACTATGAAAAGAAACGACACACACTTATCAATTACTTTTTCTCCCAGGCAAAAATCATCCTTTCAGTAACTTTTGCATATTTCAATTTTCACTTCACCGGATAGCGCACGGTAATATTCACTTGAATAAAGAAGTGTTAAAAGACTCTAACCTGTCTGCCATTACTGCGTTGACTGCGTCGTATTCATTTTGATTAAACACTTTACACGCATGTCCTCAAACCTTAGATCCTATGTTTTCAAGTCCGTGAACTGTCGCATTGTAATTTTGCAAACACTGCGGTCATGTGTCATCAAATGGATCAAGCAACAGCGTTTTTATCTATGGCAATTTAAAACGGTCTCGGATATACACGGCCCCTCAGGTTCAAGCCACCTAAAATAAACATTCTAGCTTGGATGAGAACAGGGTCTTAGATGTGGTCCGTTTAGTCGGAGTAAAGCGCATGTTTACTGCGGGGGCCAGCTATTACAGTACCGGTAAGTCAGCTGGAGGTACTGTATACTGAATGAGCCCAAGGTCCTCAGGTTAAATCCTATGAAGAGCTTAACGGAATAATTAAAAAGCGCGCCAGGAATTTAACTCCTTCCACCACCGTTGCTTTCCTGTGAGCCGCTCTATCGTGACATGCTGTCAGCACAGGGGTAACTTCAGAGAAGAATAGTTGTAACAGTTTCCACTCTGCAGCCGTGAGCCCGTTTAATATTTCACAGGCGATTTCAAATACCTCGTCTCTTCGGGCATCCTCTAAATCTCAACCTTTCTACAGTTCCGTGATACCATCGGTCGTAACTTGCTGTTCGTTTAGCTCTCAAGAACTTCTGTCTTCTCTCTGTGGCTACTAATTGGAAACATATGGAACAAAGTGTGATCTTATCACCCTCATCCCCAGTAGCACGTAAATAGCGCTTAAGGCAATTTAGCTACATGACATGACAAGAGTGCAACTAGTGTGGGAAAGTGGCAAATATTCACTGAAATTAGATTTCAGAAATGAAAAGCCGGAGGGGAAAAAAAATTCTCCAGCTCTGTGAGTCTAAAATTGTTGTTGTTGAAATTTGTAAAATATAATTTTTCAATGAAATAATAATAATAAGAAGAATATTAATAATAAATACAGAAAGTCTAACCTGGCAATCGAACTGGCCCCCAAAGCAATCCGTGTTTTCTCAGTATGCGGAATTCAAATTTCAAGGAAATCCCAGCCATGTCAAATTATGAGCCGAAAAGCCATTTATTCTGTCACCACACAGACATCTTTTAAAAGTGACTCTCCTGTTTAATTATTCATCGACTGACAAATTTTTCAAACAGCAAGAAAAATCCACAGTCGTGCAGCACTAACTCATGAATGACTGTTTATTTACCTGAATTATCATGAGTAAATTCAACTCGCATATTAAAATAGTGGACGGGAAAGTAAAAGCCTTGAGGAAAGTGTTACGAACCCGTTTGACCTTTTTTTTTTGGTTTTGTTTTTTTTTTTTTACAAATACTGTATGTGATGACATATGTGGATCCAACAGTAGCAAGGTGGTGAAGGGCGCGCACGCACTTCACTGTACATAATGCACGTGTGTGCGTGTAAGTGTGTGCGAGTCCTGCTTGTGGAGCGGAAGTCAAGAAGGGGGCGTGTCTGTCCCATTCACCCGGAGAAGTGAAAGTGCACGCATATTATTCACAATGGTTCTGCGTTTTCTTGCCAGCATGAGTGCTGAAAGGACCGTCGTGCATTCAACCCTTATTCATGACCTTGAGCAGAGTGGGGTTTCCCCATCGGGCATTGAAAGCACATTCAGTTTCAGGCATTAGAATGTTTTTCCAAAAATGTCAAAAGAAATTAACTCACCGTCTTTGAGTCTAATTCGTGGTGTTGCTGAGCTAAGACTTTTTCTACGCTGGCAGCATCTGTAAATGTAACAAACCCAAATCCTCTGCAAAGCAAAGACACAAACAACAACGGTGTCAAAGGGGCCTGCATGCAAAACCCAAAATAAATAACTTATGATTGTTCAGAATGCAAAACAAAACTACATTGCAGAGCACGTCATCTCGATTTGACCTCACTAGCGTCACAGTATTGTTTCTTGCAAAAACAGTCGCGGTTACAGTGCATGTGTTTATCATCCAGATTGCGGACGTCCTGTGGCAGAAACTGAAAGTGAGCACGCTATTCGCCACACTGTGCTGCAGTCACAAAGTCAATGTCAAATTGCATTCGGTCGCAGCTTTACGGCAGCGAGCATTTAAGCTTATCTGGCTCGCTGTGGAACCACACGCAGGCGCGCGCACATACACACATACAAACAGTGGATTAACCACGAAACAAAAGTAAAGCGATATCGCTGCGTGTGTCTGTGTGTGTGTGTGTGTGGGGGGGGCATTTCATTTACCTTGAGCGTTTCGTCGTGGGGTCTCGCATCACCATACATTCTCGTATCTCTCCAAATTTACTAAAATAGTCTCTAAGGCTGTCTGTGGAGAGAGGAAACACATCGGGTCATTAGAAAGACAACACACACGCGTTCGTCAATTTGAAAAAAAAATACACGCACGAACACACGCGCACACTCGCGCGTACACACACACACACACACACACACACACACACACACCCCCCCCCCTCCACCAGCAGCACCGCCGCGATGCGCATAGGGGTCGAATAGAGGACTTGAGACGGACGAAGATCGGGAATTACGTCGCACACACACCAGCTGAGACATCCCATACTGTGCACGCGTGCACGCATTCGCACGCCACCTCGGCGTCAACGGCCGCCGACACGCAGTCAGCAAACAACACGAAAACAACACGAAATACAAGGACAAGGGGGGAAACACTCTCACCTGGTGAGGTTTGCCAGCTGAGGCCACCGATGAACATTTTACTGTAAAAGGGAAACACAACACAAGTGAGTCCAGATGTCAGTTCGGCCATTTTGACGACTAACTACTTCTAAAAGCGACCAGAAAGGATAAATCGCGACCGATCGAGTCGTAATAAGTCTCGCTTGCTGTTCGAGAAAAGGGGGAGGACACTGGCGCTAAAAGCTCTCGAAAACTGCCCCTTGCAAGGCAGCGAGTGCGTGCCGTGTGGACGAATACAGCACGCCAGTCGAAGTCCTCTCCAAGATGTTGCAAACATGCACAAAACACGGCTTCAATTTAGCTCCAAGATTCTTACCCCGGGTCATGTTGTGAGTCATTTAGGCTTCCGGATGTGGCTTGACTCCCGTCTCCTTCCATAGCTGTTCCGAACTATCGGCTGGGACTACAGTAACAGTGACAGACACACAGACAGGCAGGAGATATGCAAAGCCCCGCTATGAGAATATTACTGAGCCGGGAACGACAGCGTCACACGTGGGATCAGCTCAGCCCCCTGCTCCCTCCTCCTCCTCCTCCTCTTCCTCCACCACCTCCCCTCCCCCCTCTCTCTCTCTCCCCCCCCTCTCTCTTTCTCTCTCTCTCTCTCTCTCTCTCTCTCTCTCTCTCTCTCTCTCTCTCTCTCTCTCTCTCTCTCTCTCTCTCTAAAGGGAAAGTCAACTCCAACGTTTTCTTGACAATAAGGGATTCTATGCGCACCCCAACAAGTGAAAACACACTACTCTGATTGATATTGCGTCTGTAGAACATGAATTAAGGGAGTAGCCAGATATTACTATTGTTATTTCTATTTATTTTGTTATTTGATTTTTTTCAATGGGGTGGGCAGGGTAAACCATCTCAGTCAAGGGTGTCCAAACATGCAGTCAGTGTGTCATTCCTTATCATCTGTCCAGACACTGTTGTTTTCAAAAAAAATTTTTGACGTGCTCCATTGCTTACCGCTGCACACTTCGATTTGCGCTCCCTGCCCTGACGCATTGGGTCTTGCGTCGCGTAGAGTGACGTCACAGGCAGTCATAACCGATTGGTATGTTTGGAGCTGTTCAGAGTCGAAAAATATTTTGATCGACTTGACTTGAATCCACCTATTTTCAATTGCTGGAAATTAGCGTTCTCCTGAAAAAGGAACCTGAAATAAAGTTTTTTTCCGGAATCGCGTACATGTCCATTCATTCGCGTTGAGTTTGGTGCTGTTTTATAGCTGCATCTCACTGTTCAGTGCAATTTGCAATTCCCCAGTGCCCAGTTTCCTCCTTGTCTCTCCCCCGAGGTCGACCGCCATTGATACAGCAACATTATTTTTGAAATTGTTTTCGTCGTAAATCTGCACACCACAGTTAATAAAGCAAAAGGTCTCATTCCACCTAAGGAGGGCGTTGAGCATAAAGAAATTTCTTTTTAATTTTGTTCTCGGGAAAATAGTATTTTTCTGTCTTAAGGTTCACGCTTGATCTAAACTGGACTTGGGAGCTTGTGGACTTGGACTCGGACTGTGTGACTTGTACACGATAAAGGCAGACTTGACTACAGCCCTGTATAAGGGGTGGCCAAAGAGTGACAAGAAGTGGGCATGACCCTGTCGCTCTGCCCCTGTGAATCAACCTTCCTCTTGTGTTAGCTTTCTGTTCTCTTCTGTTAATGATTCAGTTAAGCCATAAAATACCCATTTTTCTATCATCCAATTTGTTTCTTACCCCTTGGTTACATTCTTAGGCTTCCTTATGCATGAAATGATTGGTGGCCGCGTTCGTTTCTTTGAAGGCCATGTAAACGCACGCAAAACCCTGACTATGCTGCTATTGTTTTTTTTTTCTACCCTTTTCTAACCCGATACTGTGTCATCTAAACTGATCGGGTCACCTCTTGTCGAACAGGACATTGATTTGTGGCACTGATTTATGTTGATGTTTTGCCATTCGTGGTCTGTGTCTCACCGAGTGTCACGATGGTCGAGAGACTTCAGATTGAAGCAACTCAGTGAAGGTAGGGTACAGACTATTTCTCTGACTGTGTAAGTCTGCGCTCCCACTTTGAATAACGTTCCAGTGCACTTTTCCTGGTCGGAGGACTGAAAACTCCCAACTTCCCACTTTCCCGGAATGGAGCAGTACTTCCTTCTATATGTGAAATTTTATGTGGCCAAACCAGGAAAACAGGTTAGCAGACTCATAGTCTATGTTAGCATAAATACGGGCTGATGACATGGTGGTTTGAATCTAAACTTACTCAAATTATTTTTGGTACACCCTGAATTGCTCACCAGCCAATCGCAGCGCGCATAATGACAAACAAACATTCACACTCACACAGAAGGACAATTTAGTGTCTTCCATTCACATAACATGCATCTTTTTGGAACACAGGAAGAAACCGGAAAAGACTATCTGGAGAAAATCCACAGGGAGAACATGTCAAGACCACCCGGGAAGGCCGTACCCCGGATACAAACCCATAATTTCCTGTTGTATACCTGAGGACCTCCCATCGCACACTAATGTGCAACCGAACACCGATTGGGAATCACTGTTCCAACTACTAATGAACTAATAAAGTACAAATATATACATACCGTAAATCCCATGAATTACACGATCTGTGTGTAATACGCCCCCTGTCTCGTGAGGAGCGGAATCTGGACCCAGAAGCAGACCTGACACGGAAGTTGAAAAGCAAAAGACTTGATCTATTAAAATACAAAGTAACTACAGAGAGAAGGGCTGGATGAAGAAGACACGGAAGAAAGCTGACATTCTGACTGGGAGAAACCTCGACGTCCTGACATCGTGTTCACTGAGTAATCCGAGTTTACATAACTGTGAGACATCAAGCCTGTATGACAGAATAAAGGACCAAAGCATAAACGGGCCACAGCGAGTGCGTAACAACTGAAACATTAAGGAGGAACCAACAGTCACAAGAGTACCCTGAAAAAGGGCAGCATCCAATGCGGCAACTCCCGGTGCAATTCAGATCCGCCTCTTTACTGTAAAGAGCCATAAAAAAAAACAATCGCTGACAAATGTGCAATCGATACAGCATGGGTGGAAACTATGAACTGTCACATAATATAAGACTGAACTATACTTGAATTATCATACTTTATATTTAATCTGGCAATTTTAAGATCATTACGTCGTCAGCCTTTGTTGATGTAAATTAGAACAATCTCGATTGATTGATTTGTGGACGCGGCATGGAGGAATGTGAACCAGGGAGCATTAACAATGCCGACAGCAGATTCAGAGAAGCAAGATCCTCATCCGATACATTATTTAAGAGAGAGATTTAAAAAAAAAAAAAAAAAAATGTCGATACAAAATGATTCGTGTATTGTGCCAGGGTTAAAAAAAAAAAAAAAAAAACTCACGGTTACGTTTTTGTCTTTTCAGTTGTTATCATGAGTCAGTTTTGCAGTTTTTGGTAGCCAGTTCACAATGTCAACAAATCTGGGGGAACATGTTGTTTTGATAGCATAAGAGCCATGGAGGCCAACACGGACTGTTCAAACTGTTACACATTCGCTCTCACGGACAATTTATAATGTTCAACGAACCTAACGGGCATGTTTTTGTCCATGTCTAATTGGACACTGAGCATTGTCATCACTCTCACATGACAACGTTATATTTACGAGTAAACGACCATTGGCCACTCAAATATTCGGATGTTACAGATATCCTTCTACAGGCCCATATTTTTGAACATCTGATTTAAACAAGCACACGAGTCTAAAACAAGTGTGGCAGGGGAAAAAAAAAAACAACAACAAAAAAACAATTGAATCGCAACTAGATTTTAACAATACTGTAATTTAATGTTCGTCTAAGCAGCTTGCAATGCTGCTTTTACTGAATGATTTATGGTTGGTGAGTTTGAATTTTATGTTTCAGTCGGGTGCACGTGAACGCAGCTGCCAAATTTAAGCACGAACCATAAAATACATTCACACAACAAGCCTGTATTTATTAACCAAGCCGTGTACATGATGGAATTAAAACATGTTTACGTCAGTGAATCAATACAGCAAATCACTATTCGGTAATTCAAAAGTAGCCAACAATATAGAAGAAAGCAGAGTCTGCAAATGTTCCAAATCTTACCTACTCTTGGTTTGGAGGGTTAGCTGATTATCGGCGTAAGTCTCCTGAGCCATTAAACCTGTACACAAGCAGGTTTCAAGAGCACAAAAAGGTCCAAATCCTTTCTTCCGACCCTGAGGCATGGCCTTTCACATCTATATTCATTATGGAAGTGTTTTCCCACGGGGATTGATGCTGTATCCATACACATCAGGTTCTAATGTTCATCATGTCTGACTCATTTTTGGGCCATTTTCTCCATTCAAAATGTGTCAAAAAGGACAGATTGCTGTAATTAAGCATCCATTTTGGGGTGTGCACACTTATGCAACCACTTTTATGGCCATTAGTCTCTCTTCATTAGACAGATTTGTTTATTCTCCATGTTATTCATGGCAACAACGAGGCGCTCTAAAGCAGCCACGCCAGCACGAAGCCATGTCCACACGTTGGATGTCACGTTGAACTTTTATTTATTTATGATTTTACTTTATGTTAACTGTTTTGTTAAGCGCTTTGTTACAGCTGCCGCTGTTGTGAAAGCGCTATATAAATCAGCATGTATTGTATTGTATGTATTGTATTGTATTTATTGAAACCTTTTGCTCTTCCGCTTTTCCCTGCACTTACCACCGACAACGAGGTGCACATTATTTTCCGTATATAAACACAAACAAATATCTGAATTTGCCCCCCCAGAGTCTTTAACTGTGGTGTTGTTTTACATTGAGCTTCAGGCTCAATATGTTGTATATACACGGTGCAAGATTGTAACTAGTCCAGACGACTGGTGCGCAATCATAAATAAATGCTCGATATCTTTTCAATGTTTGGACTTAAACCTCCCAAGCTTCTGACTGAAATGTGACTACCGAGCCTTTACTATCGTTTGCATTCAGAGAACTTTTGGTGAATAGGCCTGTCTGTGAGGAACACTAGCAGAGAGGCTTCCTTATCTGGCCTGGCAGCATGTTTTTCAAACAATGACTTCGATAAAAACCCAAATGACAACACTTTTCGTGGGGGGGGGCATTTGAGTAGATATCTCTAGTCAGGTGGCCACATTGCAGCCGCCTGTGTCTTGAGGAAAAAAAAAAAAAAGCAATCGGTGGCTATTCAGTGAAGCACACATCAGTCAAAATGCATGAAAGTGTGAATTCCTGTGAGAAAGGGAAATCTACTTTTTGCTTTGTTGTTGCTCCCTGTCCTATTTGATGTTATTTTCCACAATTATTTAATAAAAAATTCCATGTTTAGCTTGACTAAGGGAGCAGCATGTTAGCTGTTCCGCTCAAATACGTCTCCGATTTTGCGATGGAGGTTGGCTTCTTCAATTTTCTTTTTTAAACATTGTTATCCCGGCCTTTCCATTCTGTGATTTTCGACAGCAGACAGCAAGGCAGACAAGTCAAATGTGACGGAAACGGCGCTCCAAGTGTGACGTCTCGTAATAT